ACATGGAAAAGAGAAGGGAAGGGGAGGAAAGAGGCAGGTGACCCAGGACATACAGAATGTGGATAATGGGATGGTTTGTGAAATTTCTTGGACACCATGAGAGATTCAAAGTTATTTGCCAAATTAGGGGCCAGACTACGAATGCTTTGACACACCTTGTTACTCTTGCAAGGAGTCCCATTGACTTCAGTGGGACTAATGCATTCCAAGGTGAGTAAGGGGCTCACAATCCAGCCCAAGGTAATTTAGGTCCTAATTCTGCAAGCTAACCTGGCCCCCTTGCAGACAATGCAGGGATTCTCCCTTCCCTTCCCTTCCCCCACCAAGGCCCGTGACTGTAGGACCCTAGACTGATTACACTGGCCCCTTGCGTTCTGATCTGAGTAAGGAGCAGCATATGTTCTGTCTTCGGAACAAAACAGGGAACAAACCTGTGGCTCAGGGAACCCATGGAGAAGATGTCCTGCATTCCCCTGGGGGAGAGAGCAGTGCCAGCCATTTTCCTCCACAGCTTACTCCCCACCCCCACCCCCAGCTCGGGGAGGCAGAGCCAAAACACTGTCCATGACCTGCTCATGTGTGAGCAAGATGGAGTAGCCGTCTTGAGGATGCTCTCCTTTCCCCCTGTAGTAACTGTTGTAAGACTAGGCAGCACAGCGAGTTAATTTATACTACCATAGTGTCCTGTATAAGGACATAAGCCAGCTCTCTCTTGGGCCTTAAGCCAAGTGCATCAGTTGTTTTGCTGCATTCCTTTTTAAGTGCATGTCAGTCACTGGCTCCATTATTGAGCCAAAAACCCTCCACCTTCAGAGCTGGCAAAATATTAGGCATGGTGCCCTGTATGGTGACTCCTGGAGGGCTCAGACTCACTTCAACAACAGAAAACAGGGGTATTTCCCCCCACCACGGTCCAAAAAAAAAACCCCACGTAATGTTCGTGACTAATTAAATTCTCACTCCAGTCATGATTAATGTAACAAATAATTACACCTTAGCTCTAATATAGATACAACGAATTGTTCTGCCCACAGCGCATCGTGACTAACAGTTAAACAGAGCTTTTAGAGCGACAGAGGGAAGATCTTAGGCTAACCTTTCGCCTTGTTGTGCTTTCGCTGCGGAAGGAATATACATGCCTGCGGCTTTTGTACTCCCTTTCACATCACTGGCAGTGACAGATTCTTCTCTTATTAGATGTTAGACAAGCTGATTCCTTTTAACTTCATGATGTCCCACTTTGCGAGACTGTAGGGCAAATAAAAAATAGAGACAGAAAGGAGGTGACGCTCTTTTCTTTTCTGTTCCCTGGAGAGATCCCAGCCTGGGAAGAGCTCTCTAGATCGCTGCAGCCGGACAGCTGGTTTGAAGGTTTCGAGTTGACTCCACCCTGGCAGTCAGCGATGAGTCTTTCCAAAATGTTTCATAGAATCATAGAATATCAGGGTTGGAAGGGACCCCAGAAGGTCATCTAGTCCAACCCCCTGCTCGAAGCAGGACCAATTCCCAGTTAAATCATCCCAGCCAGGGCTTTGTCAAGCCTGACCTTAAAAACCTCTAAGGAAGGAGATTCTACCACCTCCCTAGGTAACGCATTCCAGTGTTTCACCACCCTCTTAGTGAAAAAGTTTTTCCTAATATCCAATCTAAACCTCCCCCACTGCAACTTGAGACCATTACTCCTCGTTCTGTCATCTGATACCATTGAGAACAGTCTAGAGCCATCCTTTCTCTGTTTCTCTGTGCTGCTTTTAATTGGAGACAACAACAGTAGGAAAACATACCTTCTGGCCCCTTCAAAGTTTAAGTGAATGGTTACCGAAGGGAACACTCGACTTTTTGTAAACAACCAGCAACACATTTGAGTGCCTAGTAATGCATAGATTCTGATCTGGCTTTCCTGGATCTAGAGGTCAGAAGACTGAATTTAGAGCAAACAGCAGAGACTTACTTAGTCACAGAATACATAAAGACAGGAAGAACGATACAGAGAGGAAGTATGGGGTGAAATACTGATCCCATTATGGTAAAGCTCCTATGAACTTGAATGGGGCCAGGATTTCATCCACAGTCTTGTATTTAAGCACTTGACTGGGACTCAACAGATATGGGTTCAAATCCTAACTCTGCCACAGGTTTCCAACAGGAACTTGGGTGAGTTGCTTAATCCCATCTGTAAGAGGTAATAATGCTTCTGTTTTGTCTATGTAGATTATAAGCTCTTGCGGCAGAGACTGTCTTTTTTTGATGTGTATGTACAGTGCCTAGCACAATATGGCTATGATCACCATTAGGTACTGAGACACAAATAATAATGCATACTGCATGAGTAGCAGCAATGAAAGTGTTCCCTCAATGTATTTCAGTCTAACCATGAAATGACCACCTCTGGGAGTGAAATGGCAGTTCAGCCCTCTACCCCATCTGGTCCTGACGTTCAAAGTTGTTTGCGTGAGTATTTGTAGCAGCCACATTTCACATGGACTGTTCATTGGCTTTGGTGCCAGAAGTGGTTGAACACTCATCCGGTCACGGATGTCACAGCACCATGTGACATGTCTGACCAATCACAATTTACCAAATCATCTCAGGTAGCCAATACTCACAGAGAAACTTGACAATGGTAAGCTCCTGGTGTACCAGCCTATCAAGTTGACCAATATTGTTATATTGTTTCCTTGTACTCTCCCCTCTGTCAGTGTCCATCTGTTACTTTCGTTTTATACTTAGCTTGTAAGCTCTTTGGGGCAGGAACCATCCTTTTGTTTTGTGTTTGTAAAGCACCTAGCAGTCTCTATTTGATCGTGTACCTGATACATTACAGTTAGATAGGCTATTCCAGGACACTCACAAGCAGATCCAGAGTAATATTCCCAGTAGACATTTAGTGCAAGGAAGGATTGCTACTTGAAGGTTAGGCATGGGACTTTGGTTCTGGGTTTTATGAAAATGATGAACATTCACCAAGGATTAAGATGAACTCATCAACCTATCTCACTTTTTCTTCAAATTAAAAAGTGTGTGGCAGCTTCCTCTCTGCTAGATTTATCTGTTCACTGTGGAATGTGTTTTTTTTTTTCCTGATGCTCCGCCAATGTGTCTCAATGCATTTGCGACTTCAGATTTCCCCCTTCCCCCTTTTTTTTTTTTTTTGGTAAAGAAAAATCTATATACTGAACAACATGTTCTATTATATAAGAGGCTTAAAATAAATTCTTTGAAATGTTGATGTTTCCCAGGGATTCTATAATACAATTGAATTGATCGAGTCAGTGAAAAAGGGATGACATTGCCACTTAAAGCTGCAGCATTTGTAAGCCTGCTTCATGGAAGAGCTTGACATTCTGAAACAATTCCTCTTCCCCAGTCCTCATGGCCACTCTGCCCTGTACTCTTTCTTGGCAAATATTACAGCACTTGGTCTAGATCCTCAGCTGGTGTAAATCAGTCTAGCTCAAAGGGTCAATGGAGCTATGCCAATTTATAATGAGGATCTGGTCCTATTGACTATACTCCTCTAAAGGCTTAGCTCAATGGAAAATTGTCAAACCCATGTAGTATGAAATACCTCAAACTACACTAAGCTGGTTTTCATAAGTAATGCCATTTGTCTAATATCTGCATCACAGGGGCCTAATTACGCAATTCCCATTGTACCTAGAACTTCCACTCAATCCAAGGGGAGTTTTGAATGCAGATTTCATGCAGGTTTTTATCCCAAATGATTAACTTGCAATATATTGATGAAATCTGCTGCCGAAGAAATGTTTTGGAGCACAAATCCATGACCATTTAGCCTTGTCTTCAGAATTTCCCCAAATATCCCTTGATGATGGGAAGCATCAATTCTTTTTGTACAGACAGAAGAGCTTCCAGGAAATATGAAAATGGGCATGAATTTGTAGACAGCTATAAGATATGGAAGATAAACTTGACTCCACAAATTGGAATGTGACTGACAGTTTCTCTGCTCACTTACACTGCAGCAAGTCAGTGCTTAAAACACATCTTCAGGACAGGAACTGGCATCAGTTGCCTGTAGGTCTCAAACATATCATCATGAAACAGCTTTGTCAGGATCCCTGGCTGTAACACGCTGTCAGCAGGTGACACTCTCTGTCAGCATTAGACATACATAGCTTCTTCTCCTTCCTGTTTTTGTCCTTGTGCAAGCTTTGACCTTGATAAAAGAAAAAAACCTGTTCTCCATTTGTCTAAATTCCCCTAGTCATTAGCAGAAAATCTAGTGATCCATTAACCTCAAAATGAAGATAGGATCAACTCACAAAGATTGGATCCAGACCCAGAATTCAGGCATGTTCATATCCATGGTTTTGCCAACCTACCTTATACCCATAGGATATGATCAATTGAAAAATCCCCATTTGTTTCAGGAAGCGTTGGATCAAGACTATATGGACCAGCCATGAAGTCTGGATCCAGATCCATTTGCCATCTTTCCCAATTCTGAAGGATGTGCAGATCTTGGAAGCTTGGAATGTGCCCATTTCAAATGGTTAAGAGGTTGGATTCTGGTTAGACTGAGAATCAGGGGCCAAATTACTGTGAAATTTAGGCTGTGAAAGCAGCAAGTACCGTAAATATCATAACGTCTTCCTCCAAAAATGGCCAAATAATATTTTCAAAATCTGTGCCCAGTTTACACTGTTAGAACAGCGTAAAGGGATCTTAGAGTGAGTGAAACTGCATCCCTGTCAAGTCAGTGGTATTACTCAGAGAACATAAAGTTAAGCATATGCAGAAGTCTTTGCAGGGCTGGATTCCAAAGCAATTAAAATACCAATACATGAGATTTCCATTCATGACTCCATTACAGTTCTGGTTGGGCAACTTTCAATGACTGAAACCCACAACTCGTATCAGATTTCCTCTAATGTTAGAATTTCCTGGTGGGGTACCTGTAACATTCATTGCATTTTGTAAGGAAAGAAGGGATATTCACATCTCAATGGGTTCTCTTTTTTTCAGGCAGACCCAGTTATCCTTTGGAGTTTTCTCTATAGCTGCTGGTTTCCATTTAAGTGGCCTGGAATCTAAACTTCTCTATTTATCCACAGCACAGACAGTGGCAACAGGGTAAGCTCATGTACACTGCTTCCAGTGAATGTACCTTAGTCCTGTTCCGGAAAGACCATCTCCTAGTGAGAGATTGGATAGTTCATTCTCCAGGGCTTATTTAATCCGTATTGCCTCTGCTGAGTGTAGTGTGAATCAGTGCCAGCGGTGACAATATCATTTGTGTATGGAGTGAGACTGGAGTGAGACTAGCATGGCACACAGGCCACTGAATAGACAGAAGATAAGGCCTTTTGAGCAGTGCGGTGTGATGAGTCATCCCTGAGTTAACTCTGAGCCTCAGGGTGATTAAACCTGATGAGTCATCCCTGAGCCTGAGAGGGAGATAACTTATTCAAGGCAGGTTTTGTGATAGTCCCCATGCCGTTCAGCCAGTGTTCAGCCAATCCACAGATGAGGACCCACCCAGGGGACCCTCAGGCAGGTATACAGTCTCTCCAGTCTACTCAATATCACTACCTGGCTGGGAGCACTCCCGTTGCCCAGTAGTTCTGACAGAATGCTTCCGCTCCAGCTAGGCCTTGCTCTTGCTCTAGCCCATGCTTGTTTCCATGCTAGTCAGCCCCTGCTCCAGCCTGAACCTGCTCCTACCCCAGCCAGCTGGCAGGTGATTCCGGCATGGGAACACAGATTGGAGAAGAGATCAAATCCTTGCATGTCTGGTGAGAATCAGAGCTACTAGTACCCAGAATTGCTCCTTGACTCATCCAGTCTCACTTGTATTTCTGCTGAACAAATGCAAAGGGCAACTGCTTAATCTTCCTATACCAAAAAAAAAAAAAAAAAAAAAATGCAGTGCAGGGACTTGTTCTTTTCAGCCTCTTCTCTGGGCTGATTCTGTGCTCTGAGAGCTTGCCTTTGAATAGTTGTGAACATTGATAATCTGTGCAACCACTTGACTGAGGCTCTCATATATTTTACTTGACAAACATTCATGGAGATCAGACTAGATGATCTAATGGTCCTTTTACAGCTTTCCAATCTGTGGATTTTTTTTTTACCATATTTTAGCTTGTAGAGTAGTCTTCCCCTGCATGTCCCCTCCCTGCCACCCCCCCCCCCCACTCCCAAATAACTGTTGGGAGTCCCATTGCTTGAGTCATTTAAAAACAGACAGCATACAAGACTGAACTGGATGACCTAACAGAACTTTTCCATCTCTAAATTCTACTGAACTTCGGATTATTCAGAGGATAAGAGTGACTTCTACTGTCCAATGTGTTAATTAGTCCACATTTGATCTTCACTCCTAAGCTTTGTAAAACTCTTCTAATCTAAATGCTCAGAGCTCACTGAGCCTGATACAAGCCCACTACCGCTAATGAGCGTCTTTCCACTGATTTGAATGGGCTTTCGATCAGGCACATAATTGCCATAAATACAGGGAATCTCCTATTTCCTAGTTGTGGGTTTCAGTTATTGTAGATTGCCCAAATAGAGTGGGAGATGAACACACAATTTCAATGATTCACAGAACCCAGATGTTAGAGATGGATAAGACCTGTTTGGTCATCTAGATCTGCATCCTTCTATTTCAGGATTGATATCTATAATTTATTTACTTGTCTATCACCTATTAATTGTAGTGATTCTATCATTTATGAGCCTAGGTTAATAACTATAACTGATCTCATCCCAAAACTGCAAAGTATTAAGCAAACCATGTGATGGTGCTATGCTATTCTATTCTATATAGCTTTTCATACCATCCTTATCACCGTAATATCTGATTGTGTTCCAGAAATGCATTCATTGATGTGACTAACATCTATCACACGTGGTTCATTCTCTCTCATCCTTTCCCCAGGGGGAGAATTGTGTGTACAAGCAAGTGTTTTGTTTTGGTGGTGTGTGTGTGCACGTGCTCAACTGTAATCACAAGTTTTAAAGGAGTGCACCATGCAATGACTTGTATATAGTGGTTTTTACATGAGCGGGAAGTGACGTGCAACAATTTGAATAGTGAGTTCCCGATTTGATTTCAAGATTTTTTACTTAGTATTAAGCTATCAGCTTTCATCCAAGGACATCCAAACACTTTGCAAACAGTAATAATTACTGTTATACCCTTGTTATCAGTGGAGAAACTGGGACACAGAAAGGTTAAGTAACTTGTTTAAGGTCACGCTGCCATTCTATGGCAGAGCTGAGAATGAAATCAAGATCACTCAACTCCCAGTGAATACACTACATCCACTCAAAAATGATGTTTCCCCAAATAACTTAAGTCGAATTTAGGGCCATATGTGCAAAGAGGAGAACTATTCTACACACACACACACACACAAATCACACAACTGTGTGCCCAGGTGCTAGCCAACATGCAAGTACGGAAAATCTAGCCCCATCAAGACTGATCAGAGAGAGGATATCTGCTCCAAACTTATTCTTTCCCATTTTCCTCAATATCTCCACTGGAGATAACCATAGCATTATAGACTTAACCCACAAGTAGGCTCTCTGGCTGGAGTTCTACACTAGTTCAAGTGTATTATGCTTTCTGGAAGGAAACACCACAGAGTGAGATTCTATGAGAGGTTAAGGCAAAGACCAGTATTAGAATGGAGCAAAAGTCGGTAGGACTGGCATCAAATGTAAAGGGTTGAAGGAATATCAAAGGAAGGTCAAGGCTGAGAGTCAGCCCACTGAAGTCAATGGAGACGTTCCCATTGATTTCAATGATCAGGACCTTACATTCTACCCTTGTACTCATGGTGAGTAATACCTTACAACAACCCAGCTGCTGGATTCAGGAGGTAACATGACAATCTCAGCTTTAATTTTTTAAAGTTTCTAGCCCTGCTGGTTTCAGAAAAAAGCTTGAAAACGTGAAGCAAACGAAACGAACCCTAAAGGCTCAGAAAACAAAGGCAAATAAGACCCCCCAAACTTCATAGGTGCTTTACTAGGGGTCCAGGGGGGTACTGCAGCACCCCCAGACTTGAAGTGGTTTCCATTATACGCAGGATTTACAGTTTGGTTCAATGGCTCTGTGTCCCCACAGTATGGAACGGCTTCCGGATGAGGAGAGATCAATAAGACTGGGGCTTTTCAGCTTGGAAAAGAGACAGCTAAGGGGGGATATGATTGAGGTCCATAAAATCATGACTGGTGTAGAGAATGTAGATAAGGAAGAGTTGTTTACTACTTCTCATAAGACAAGAACTAGGGGTCACCAAATGAAATTAATAGACAGCAGGTTTAAAACAAATAAAAGGAAGTATTTCTTCACACAACTCACAGTCAACTTGTGGAACTCCTTGCCAGAGGATGTTGTGAAGGCCAAGACCATAACAGTTCAAAAAAGAAACTAGATAAATTCAGGGAGGATAGGTCCATCAATGGCTATTAGCCAGGATGGGCAGGAATGGTGTCGCTAGCCTCTGTTTGCTAGAATGAGTGACAAAGAAGGGATCACTTGATGATTACCTGTTCTGTTCATTTCCTGTGGGGCACCTGGCACTGGCCACTGTCCGAAGACAGGATACTGGGCTAGATGTACCTTTGGTCTGATCCAGTAGGGCCATTCTTATGTTCTTATGTTAACATGCGTAGTCCCACTGAAATCCAGAGGGCTGTGTGGGTATGTACTGGGCCCAGAGTAAAGAAGTAGTAAATCGGGGGAGGGGGAGTAGAGAAAGGTCCAGTCATATGGATAGGGAAGGAGAAGAATGAAGCTGGAGAAGCCAGGAGGGTCTGGTTGGGTGGGAACAAGGTCTTCCTCAGAAGCAAAGGAGAGTGTATCAGAAGGAGTGGTGTCTGTTTGCAGCAGTGGTTATTTACTGATAGCTAGGCAGGCAGATGATGATGTGGAAGTTAGATCAAGACAAGGGTGGTATTCCCTTTACCGATGGCTAGGAAAAAATCCTTAGGGAATCCAGGGCAATTTCTAAACAGTGGAATTTTTTCACTCAATCAAAATGTTTAAGATCTGTGCTTTATTGAGTGAATACATATAGAAAGGGGTAAGATTGTCACCAGATGTAAATCACTATAGCTCCATTGAAGTCAATGAAACTACCCTGATTTTGACAAACTGAGGATCTGGCCCCTCTAAGTTTGATGCTGCTCTGGCAATAATAACCATGATCTTTGTCGAGGGAACACAGTACAGAATGCAACCAGCCTTTGATCAACAACGAACACGTTTTGCAGTATCGTTTGATCAATTCTATTATTGCTTTTTAAATGGAAATGGAGAACCTATGTACTTATTACACCAGGTTCAAACAAAGCTGTATAGGAACTGTATAAAGGAAGCCACACAGGTTATGTCATGCTCAGCTTTCTCTTGTTACAAAGGCTCTCAGGCACAAAGCACTGATTCTTATTAGGAATATACACAAGTGTGGAAGGGAAACAACCTCCCCCTCCCCCCACTCTACCATCACCACCAAATCCTCAGTGTATTTTATTCATCCAGAAAAACACTCGCTGAGAACAGGGCAGATTGTCATGAGCTACAGAGTCTGCTGATTTATGAGGAGGGATAAAAAGTCAATTTGTTTCTGCAAAACCTGGTTAAAGAAATTAGAAGAGCCTCTAGAAAATTTTAACTTGCCTGTCCAGCATCTACACAAGAAATAAACCACACTCTTCCCTGACCTTGACAGCATTATTGGTTATCTTAACAAGGATAAACCTGGGAAAAAATCTCTAATGTATTAGGTGCTAAACATGCTAAATTCAATGTCAGGACTGAATCTCTTTTTACTGTGTGCTGAAGAGACTCCTGGAACATCAGAGTGCACATGAATTTGTAGATTATTTTGGCTTTGAACAAGCCATGGCCAATGCAAGAAATTCTCCTTCTCCATTAATATTTACATTACCCTAAATGTTCTCTAGAGGTACCAAAAAAAAAAAAGACAAAGATTTCTGAGGAAAAAAATGACATCATGAAGTAATCAAAGTCTTAGAGAAAGTCATCCCCATGCCCAAAAAAGTGACTATGCTGAAGGTATCCGAAGTATTTCAAGTTGTCGCTGAAGACAAAGGAAGACTGATAGTAGGTAGACATGTGAAAAAGCCCTTGGGTGAGAAGAAAAACAAAAATGAGAAGGAGAGATTAAGAACAATGTTGGATTTCTGAAGAAACTCATCAACTAAAAAAGATGTTTGATACCCATGGGTGTAAAGATGAAGAATGCAAATTGACTGAACTTCCAAGAGAGGGAAGTAATAATTAACAATGGGAAAATGAGTAGGCTAGAAAGTGGAAGCAGTGAATAATGCCACAGCAATAACCACTAAGAATTACAGAGGATTATGGAGCGTGATGAATGACTGTGGCTTTCAAGGATGCTTGATAGAGTTAGGTGACCAACTCTCTTTGCATTTGAATGGGATGCAGGTGCCTGATTCCCTTAGGCCCTCTAGAAAATGCCAGCCTATATATTTAATCACACACACACACACAAACACACACACACACACGCACACACATTCAAATTAAATTAAAAGAATATTAAGGTTGCAAGGTCAAAAGTTAGGATATGCCAGATTTAAGGCTGTCCCCTTGTGCGTATGCACTATCTTAAAGTCTTTAATTACATGGTCAAACATTTTCTCCACAGGACCCCTGCCTCATTCAGGGCCAAGGATGGATGGTTCTCTTAATGAGCAGGTATTCAGTGTTTTGTTTTATCCTCATTGTGTGGTCCCAGGCCTTATTTACTGCCCACTATTTATACTCTGCTCTAAACACAGAATTATTAATTTCCTTATGGGCTTTTCTGTGACTCTTACCACTACTGTATCTGAGCGTTTCACAAACATGAATGAATTTATTTTCACAACATCCCTGTGAGATGAGGGGGCATTATTATCCCCATTTTACAGTTGGGGAAATGAGGCACAGAGCAACTAAGGTCAAAAGTATCCACTAATTTTGGGTGCCCAAGTTTGAGACACCTAAGACCTGATTTTTCAGAATACTTAGCATTATATAGCACTTAATATATTCAAAACACCCAGTCCATCAAGATGTGTATCTGAGTACATTGGCATGTAGAGTGACGAGAAAACTACCAAAGGACCAAAAAACTTTACAATGGTCTAGATTTCAAATAGGTGCTCACATTACAGTATTGTCAACAAGAAATATGGAAAGATCAGGAGTCATGATTCAGGAGTCATGAGTTTGCCTTCAGATTAGGAGATTAAAAAAATAATAATCAGTTTTGGGGATCATTTTATTTTCCTTCTGTTTTTGCGCACTTAAGCTTTTATCCACAGCCATGAGGGATAGAAAGATGCATGGTTTTTTTTGTTTTGGGATTTTTTTGTAATGAAAAGTGAGATTCTCACATAATCAAATGTCTCTGGGAGCTGAGCCTCTTAGAAAACAACCAGATATTGAGAGATACACTACCTCATATTGCTCATCCATGTGGACACTCATGATATTGCCAAGTCTGACCCTTAGCAGATCAGCAGGACCACAGAGTTCTGGGAGCTAGGATGAAAGGATCGGGGAGCAGGTCATGTTCTCATCCATTCTCCTGGTTGAGGGTAAGAACCCAGGCAGGGACATGCACATTGTGAAGATGAATCAGTGGTTGCACAGATGTTGTCAGTGAGAGGCCTTTGGCTTCCTCTACCGTGGGATCTGCTCTGGGAAGGAGGTCTCCTGAGAAGAGACAGTGTCCACCTGACCAAGAAGGGGAAGAACATTTTTGAGCACCAACTCACCGAGTGAGGAGATCTTTAAACTAGTTTCAAAGGGGGCAGTTGAAAATGTCCACGGGTAAGTATAACAAAAAGTGACCTTAAGGGAGGGTTAGATGTTGAGAGGGACATGGAAATTTACAATACTGTCATAGGAAAACAAAAGAGAATCAATGAGGGAATCTGTTCAAAATTGTAAATGCCTATACACAAATGCAAGTAGTGTGGTGAATAAACAGGATGAACTGGAAGTATTAGTACATAAGCTAAATTATTACTTAATTGGTATCTTGGAGACTTGGTGGGATAAGTTTCACAACTGTAATATTGGTATAGAGGGGTAAGGGTAAAAAGGGAAGAGATGTTGCATTATACAGCAGTAATATATACAGTTGTTTTGAGGTCCAGAAGGAGATAGTCAGACCAGTTGAGAATCTCAGGGTAAAGTTAAGAGGTAAATAATAGGGGTGATGTCACTGTAGGGGTCTACTCTAGCCCACCAAATGAGGAAGAGGAGGTGGATCAGGCATTTCTAGAACAAATAGCACAAATATCCAAAACATAAGACCTAGTAGTAATGGGGGGACTTTAACTACCCAGACCTGTGTTGGAAAAATAATAAGGCAAAACACAAAATTTCCAAAGTGCTTAGAATGTATTGGGAACAATTTTTTGTTCCAGAAAATGGAGAAGATAATGGGAGGACAAGCATTTTAGACTTGATTCTGACCTACAGGAAGGAATTGGGAGTGAATCTGAAGGTGGAAGGCAATTTGGGTGAAAGTGGGTGAAAGGACAGATTTCATGATTCCAAGAAAAGGAAGGAGTGAGAGCAACAGATTAAGGACAATGAGCTTCTAAAAAGCAGACATTAACAAACTCACAGAACTGGTAGGTAAGATCCCATGGGAAGAGAATCTAGGGGAAAAGGTGATCAAGAGAGCTGGCAGTTTCTCAAGTCGACAATATTAAAGACATAACTGTAAACTATCCCGACGTAAAGGAAAGATAGGAAGAATAGTAAGAGGCCAATACAGCTTCATCAGGAGCTCTTTAATGACCTGAAAATCTAAAAGGAATTCTACAAAAAGTGAAAAATATGTACAAACTGCTAAGGAGGAGTACAAAAGACAAAAACCAAGCATGTAGCAACACAACTGGAAAGGCTAAGGCACAAAATGAGTTACACCCCTAGCAAGGGACACAAAAGCCAATAAGAAGAGGTTCCTTAAAATACATGAGGAACAAGAAAGAGATGAAGGAACGTGTAGGTCCTCGATTGAATGGGGAAGGAGAGTTAATAATTGATGACATCAAGAAAGGTGAGGTGTTTAATGCCTCCTTTGCATCAGTTGTTAGTGGGCTATAAATTGGTGTGATAAGCCATAAATCCAGTGTCTCTATTCTATCCATGATTTTTAGTGTCTAGCAAAGTTATGAATTTAAGCTCCCGGGCTCATCTGTTGAAGTTTCTGTGCAGATTTCCTTTGAGAATCAAGACTAAGAGGTCAAATATAGAGTGATTGTTTTGTGAAAAGTTTTCACCCACAAGTGTTAGGATGGTTTTGTCTTTTATCATTATTTTGTGGGAAAAGTAGATTGCATGATGGAACGGGGCACCTGCCACCTAAATAAGAGCTCCGTTTCGGCTTGAAAGCCTGTTTCTCTCAGCAGCAGAAGTTGGTCCAGTACAAGATATTATCTCACCCCCGTTGTGTCTATAACGGATAGAGATCTAGAGATCTGGCATGCAGAGTGGATATGTGTAAAGCCAACAGACCCTGGTCGTCGGTGGACAGAAACGAACCTGTGCATGAGCCAAAAGCCAACTGCCTGTTAGTTAAGGCTGTAGAGCAGACCCAGGAGGTGTGTGGGTTTCATACTTCCTCAGCTGAGGAAGCACGTCCCGAGCTTCGGAGACTTCCCAGCTGTAATCCCGGATGAGCCCCCACTTGTAACGCCAGCAGAGCCCGGCCATCAGCGGGATTGAACCTGGGACCTCTGCAGCTTAGTGCATGAGCCTCTGCCTCATGAGTAAAAGCCAACTGGCTGTTAGCTAAGACTGTAGAGCAGACTCATTACTTGCATGCTCTCTCTCTCTCTCTCTCTCTCTCAAGTGGTCTCAGTGCCAATTGATGGGACGGGACACCGCACCCAGAAGGTGAGTGGGTTACACATGGAAGTATCTTTTGGGGACACATGACCTAACCATTGACATTTCCAAACGAGTCCATCTGTCTTCGATTTCATCCAGATTTCTGCAGTATTCATACTGTTCTTGCTTAACAAATAATGACTATTACAGTGTTTGAGGGACGGATCCTGCTAGCCCTTATGTACGTGCCTAAATTTATGCTTGTGTAAGGGGACTGTTGCCCCCTTACTAACATTCAGTGGGGTGTTTTAGTTGCTAGCTCCCAGTACTAAAAAGGGGGAAGGGTCGATGGGGAATCAGGACCCTGAGACTGACAGCCCCCAGGAACAATGGGGAGAGGCCAATGCTCCTGGGCGAGCAGGCTAATCAGGGAGTCAGGAGGCCAGGGAGATCCCGTCCTCCGTGTGAGCTGGATTTGCCTGGGTCAGACAGAGTGGGGGCTGAGCTAAGGAGAAAGCAGGGGCCCAAGCTAAGCTGGGAGCAGAGCTGTGCCAGATCCAGAGGGACCAGAAAAGCAGCCCAGAGAGAGCAGACCCTGTCCTGGGAGCAGAGCTGCAGCCCCAAAGCCAGAGGCACAGCCCAGGGAGAGCAGACTTGCCCTGGGAGCACAGCTGCAGGGAGCAGAGCCAGAGGGGCCAGAGAAGCAGCCCAGGGAGCTGGAGGCAGAGCAGCAGCAGTGCTGAGGCAGAGCGGTGGAGCTGAGGCTGGAGCAGTCTGGAGCTGGGTGCGGTGAGCAGCTGGGGAGAGCAAGGGGGACCCTGGGCAGCGGGCCCAGCACAGGGAGACGCCTCAGCCAAGAGGCTCTGCAGGCCAGGCTTGGATCATATCCCCGACAGGGCGGGGGCGACACAGGGAAGAAGGGTCCTAACACTTAGAGCCTGAGAGCGTGTGGCCACCACCAGAGCAAGTGTCCAACCCACAGCATCCCTGCAGCACAGCCAGGGCCTGACCAGGAGGCCTGGGGCTTACAAGGAGCAGACTGTGAACTGCCCTGGCGTTCCAGAGACACTGTTTGTGATGTTCCCTGCCACAGAGCAGGGTGATGTGTTTCCTTTCACCTTTCCCATTTCCCCTTATTCTTTTTAAAATTAATTGTTGATTAAATAACTTGCATTTGCTTTAAATTGTATGTAATGGTCAATGGGTCAGAGAAGTGCCCATTGCCGAGAGAGTACCCCAGAGTGGGGACACCCTAGCCCCTATCCTAGGTGACCACAGCAGGGTTGGGGGTCAAGTCCCCCAGGAATCCTGAGCCCAGCCTTATTGGGGTTATGAGGACTCTGCCAGACAGGAAAGTGGAAGGGGGGTCATCAAGGGCAGGGAGGCCACTGGGTAAAGGAATTGGGAGTGAGGACTCAGATCCTTTTGCTAGCCCACTTCAGTGGGGTAGTGCAGAAGCCAGGAAAGTTCCCCACAGTAGTGGGACTATTCCCCCGCTTACACTTGTGAGCAGACCCACTGGATTTAATGGGAGTACTCACATTAGGAAAGTTATATTTGTGCTTAAGGATTGGACTGTGACTTAGTGAAGTTAACAAATGGATTCACTGGAAAAGCTAACTTTAGTATAGATTTTGCTGTAGAACTGGGAGAAACTTTTCAGCATAATCTTTTATTTTTTTCAGTGAAAAATGAAGATTCAACAACACTGAGACATTTTGCAGAGTCCTGTCAGTTTCACCAAATTGTTCATGTTGAGAACAAGCAGAGAAAAATATTCAAAAAGTCAAAATGTGTAATTTTGAAATGTTTCAGTTTTCTGGTTCAAATGACTTTTGGTGTAGACATTTCCTCAGGTTAATTTTTAAAAAAATTCAAAAAATATTAAAATACAATTAAATGTTGGCGAAACCAAATGTTTCACTTGACTCAAAATTATTTTACTTCTAATTCCTCCTCCCCCCACCCAAAATGCTCTTGGTTTATTGCTCCCCACCCCCATCTTTTTTTTTTTTTTATGGCCAGAGAACTGAAAAATTAATTATTCACACAACTCTGTGTTTCTGGCCTCTAGGCCTGTGCTACATGTGCTAGACCACGTTTCTTCTCAAACTATCTTTCTGTGTGTGTGTCTGTGTGCGTGGACAGACAAAACTGACAAATTCCTGAATCTCAGTTCTATTTTTCATCAAGTCCTCTGAATAAACTTTCTGTCTCTCTATGCTGCCTGAACACATCATTATTTGATATATTCCTTTCTCATTGCTCCATCAGAGCATGAGGGATCAGGAGGAGATGAGCAGTCACCTATGGTACAGTTTATGAAAGAATATATAGCAGCTTAAGATACTGTCTTCCAATTTGACAACACTGTGCGACTCATTTCCTGTTTTCTTGTCTTTCAATAGCACTCCTTTGGCAGATAGGAAAGCCAGTATATATTTGAATAGCAGACATCCAAGCCAAAATATTTGCACATGAAGTAATTGAATGACTGGAAGACAAAGATAATTTTCTTATTATTAATCCTGCAAAATTTAGCTCAGAATACCTGCACGTCTCCCATATGCATTCAGTTTCACTGGTCTCCCCCCTTCCCCCCACATGTGGTTATTTAATCTTCTGCCAACACTGTCTACGGAGCATATTTTTCCTAGCTATGCCCACTAAGCCTTTATACTATTGATGTTTTCACAGTGAATGGTGCATGTGTGTCAAATTATAGCTATTGATCTATGTTTGTTTTTTAATGTGTAAAGTTGTTTAGATAGCATTATGGTTTGTCTGACTGGAAGTATAAATAAAAGGAAGAGAGGTGGGAACAGAAAACAACCAGTCACCTTCATTTCTTATATGAATTTCATTGTTGAGCAAAGACTGTTTATTTGAATTGAAAATACACTGGAATCAATGTTTCTTTATATATGGGTTATCTTCTATTTAGGGTAACAAATGGAAGTAATAAGATATAGAACTGGAGTGAACAGAAACCTCTTCTGTTTTCCACAAGAAAATAGATCTTTTATAACTACACTGTGTCAAATTTCTTTCTGTCTTAAAAAGTTCCTATTCTATCTATCCCAATAATATTCAGCCTCTTAAATGGATGCTCTCAGGCATTTAAAAATACAGGTTCTTTTTATTATTATTATTCATCTCCACTTTTGGTGACACCCTCTTAAAAGGTCTAAAAAGCAAATATCTTCCATACCATTTTAGAGACTTTTCCCCCCACAGCTATTAATTTTTCCCTGTAAGTTGTGGTTAGACTCAAATGACTGCAGGTAGGTTAGTTCAATTGCGCTAGCACTAGACTGGGAACTCTGAAAATATGAGTTTTGGTCCTGAGTCCACCACTGATGTGTAAATGTTAGCAAATCTCTCCTACCGCCCCGTGCCTCAGTTTCCCATTTAATCTGTCTTTTTATTAAGACTGTAAACTGTTTGAGGAAGGACCTGTCTTCTTCTGTGTTTGTAACGCACCTCACACTACAGTAAAACCAACAGTAATAGTAAAATCAATAATATGCTTTGTTTACTCCTTTGTCAATGCCACAGCCTCATTGCTGACAATGGGCCTTATTCTCGTTTCACACTCACATACCCTTGTTTTTACTCTAGTGCAAAACCCACTGACACCATTCTGGGCATCATGGCCCTGATCCTGGGAAGTTCAAGCCTTCTCAACGTCCATTGGGTTCAGTGCTAGTTGGGAGCACTCAGCACATTCTAGGAGGGGCTACGTCTCGTTTTGTAAAACACTCTGTACGGCCACTAGACGTAGCAGATGGCCAGACAATGTTTATTCAGTGAGCCCCACAAAAACAGTGGCTAACTTGTGCTACTATGTTTTTTGGTAACATAATGATTTAAACCCCCCCCCAAAAAAAACACCTGAGGAGCAGAATCTTTCCCTCTCTGATTATAAGATTTTCAGGGTATTGCTGAAAGAAAAGGAGGACTTGTGGCACCTTAGAGACTAACCAATTTATTTGAGCATAAGCTTTCGTAAGCTACAGCTCACTTCATCGGATGCATACTGCTGTTTGCACACAGTAGAAGCAAGAGTGCAGCTTCTAAACTTGAGTATCAAACTTAACATTTCTAGTATGTTAGCTTTCATGAGCAGGATCAATCAAAACTGTTTGTAAAATAAACTCTCACTTTCTTCCCAGGCTTTGGGTGTCTTTGAACTGGGTATGGAAAAGGTTTATGTTGGCATATTTATCAGCATGTTTGCTTTGACTGAGTATGTTATGCTTCACTTCCTGTCTGAGTTGTATAGTGCTGCAGTGAATGGTCAAACAGCCACCACGATCCACTTCCTGTCCTAAACTGTAGTGTACAGTTTTTGGTAAAACTGCATCCTACAAGTGGCTACATTTTATTATTTCCATGTCAATTGGGATAATCATTGAATCCTGTACCTACAATTTATGACAAAACACTGAAGAGCTGGGGTAAACACTGGAAGAGCTGGGGTGCTTTACAGCTGGGATGCTTTACAGTTACTAACTTTATTATAACTGTACATTTCCCCAATTCATTTATGCATTTTCTTACACTTTAAGTCTGGGTGTCTGATTAGCATAAACACTGTATGGTTATTCTCCAATAACCGTAGAGCATAAAAATCCCTCTTCTCCGATTCGGTGACAACCATTCAGAGTGCCAAGTTGTTTTGCGTAGGCAAGGTACAGTTATTTCTCTGCATATATTTATATTCTACTGCATATATGTACATCTTTTTACTCTGATTCAGCTTCTGGAATACTTGTGCTCCAGGTGGCTGCTTACACTGACTCCCAAGCTATTTGCCAGCAACAAAGTTGTTACCTTCTTTTTTCACCTTTAGCTGATCCAGAAAAAAACTCCCAAATGCACACGAAAATGATGAGAAATAACTCCCCTGATAAAAAGGGGAGGGCCCGGAAAAGTGTTTGAAACATAGAAATTAAGAACCTTCTTGTTCCTTTCACATCCATAATGACATGTTGGGGCAGTTGAAATCAGTGGAAGTTTTCTAATAACTTCATTGAGAGGCAAATCAGATCCTTACTCTTCTTCTGTAATGTGATTTGTTAGTATTGATATAACACCTCTATCTAGTTCTGTTAAGTATTGCATGTACATATAGTAAGGAACGGTCCCTGCCACAGGGAGCTTGCAATCAAAATAGCAAGCCAGACAAAGGATATGAGAAGGATGGATTATGAGCCTCATTTTGCAGATGGAAATCTGAACTAAGGCCCAAATCCTTAACTCCACTTGGAGTTAGGCACCTAAATACCTTTGAGGATCTGGGCCTAAGGGTCTTGCCCAAGGTCATTCAAATCTGTGGCTGAGTTAGAAAGAGAGCCTAGATCACCTTAGGCCAATGGCTTAACCAGAAGACCATCTTTCACCCTCTTTATTAAAGCAAAATCACTGTATCACAGAAGTCAGATGGGTTTGGATTTTCTTTCTTTCTAAACTGTTATCTCGTCATTCTTTCGGAGTGTTTCCTTCATGAGTACATGTCATGACTGGGAAACATAATGTTTAATGGGAGGCAAGCATTAAGGTTACATTATACAATGAGTTTTCCACCAAGCAGTCTTACAAAGAGGAAAATGCTATTTGAAGTTGAAAGAATCACTGACCTCAGTAATAGAGTTGGTTTGAAAATATTCATCAAAACATATTTTTTTAATGAAAAATGGCTTTTCAACTACGTGGAAATTTTGCAGGAAAAAATACCATTCTCAATTTAAAAAAATCAGATTTTGGTCAAAAACTGGTTTCAGTAATTTGATGGAAGCCTGACAAATGTCAGTTTAAAAAAAAAAATACAAGCAAGCTTTGTTTTCACTGAACTTTCTTGTGAGAGGGGAGAAGCATCATTTCCTGACTAGAACTACTAATTACCAAGTATAAATAGTGAGAGCCGGATTCTCCATTGCCTCACTCCCTTTCTCATCATTTACAGCTGGGTAGAGGGTGCTCAAAATGTTACTAAGTCATAGAGGTGCTGGTGTGCACTCACTCTTGTAAAGGAGAACACAAAGTGCATGATAGACAAGTTGGGGTCACAGATGTCAAGCATCCTACTTTAGGGTAGAAAGGTGACTGAATCTGAAATTATTTGTGCATGTAAACTGTCATAAACCCTAATAACAATTAACAATTTGGATCTAGATCTGGATTTCCCAACACCCAATGTTTTGGAGCTGGAATTCCGATTTAAACCCAGCCCTAGTTTTAATGAGTAATTTTCTTACCTCTTTCTTAATGGAGTTAAGAAAACTACTCCAGAAAACTGGAGATGGGTTTAAATCAGAATTCCAGAGCTGAAACTTCAGGTGTGGAAAATCCAGATCTGGATCTGAATTGTTAATTAGAACGTTCCAAAGGAAGATGATTAAAGAACTGTAGAATGCATTTTGTTTTTGAAGGGGAACAGTAATACCCCCTGTGACAAAGTTCCTGCTCTACCTTGGTGGGTCTTGCGCTTATTGGCGGATTTGCTCGCCTTGGAGCTTCACGGCAGCCCTCAGCTTAGCCGTTTTTGTGAACCCACAGTCCAGGTCGACTCCTCCTGTGTCTGACGAGGAGTTGGGAGGATTTGAGGGGGAACCCGGGCCTGCCCTCTACTCCGGGTTCCCGCCCAGGGCCCGGTGGAATGCAGCTGTCCAGAAAGTGCCTCCTGGAACAGCTGTGCGACAGCTACACCTCCCTGGGCTACTTCCCCATGGCCTCCTCCCAGCACCTTCTTTATCCTCACCATAGGACCTTCCTCCTGGTGTCGGATAATGGTTGTACTCCTCAGTCCTCCAACAGTCCGCGTTCACACTCTCAGCTCCTAGTGCC